CACTGGGATGTCCCCAAGGGGGTGGCCCTGTCCCCACCGAGGTGACCCCACGGATGTCCCCACGTCCCCCCCGGGATGTCCCCACGGCGTCCGTCCCCTCGGGGGTGTCCCCGCGGGGGGGTGGCAGCGGTGACAAATGTCCACTATTTATCTGCATCAGTGAGTGTTAGAGACGCCAATAAACACCGTAGAGCTGAGCTGGCCGCGGGGACAGCGCGGGGAGCTGGGGACATTGGGGACATTGGGGGGTTGGGGACATTGGGGGGTTGGGGACATTGGAAGGGTTGGGGACATTTGGGGACGTTGGGGTCATTGAGGATATTTGGGACATTGGGGGATTGGGGACATTGGGGACATTGGGAGGACATTGAGGGGGACATTGGAGGGTTGGGGACATCAGGGACATGGAGGGATTGGGGACAGTGGGGACAATGGGGACATTTGGAGGCTTTGGGGGGATTGGGGACTTTGGGGACATCGGGCACATTTGGGGACATTTGGGACATTGGGGCACCAGGGACAATGGGGGGACAGTGAGGACGTTTGGGGACATTGATGATATTGAGGACATTGGAGGATTGCGGGTTGGGGACATTGGGGACATCGAGGGATTGGGGACATTTGGGGGATTGGGGACATGGGGGACATTTGGGGACATTGAGGGGATTGGGGACATCAGAGGAGTTGGGGACATTGGGGACATGGTGGGGATTTGGGACACTGGGGACAATGGGGGGACATTGGGGACATTGAGGAAATTGGGGACTTTGGGGACATCAGGCACATTTGGGGACATTGGGGACATTGGGGGGACATCAGGGACATTGGGGACCCATTGGTGACATTGAGGGGGGAGGGCACTGGGGGGGGACATTTTGAGGGTGGCATCGGGGGGTCCCCAAATCCAGACCCCCCCAGGGAGCAGCAACAACAACCACGATTTATTGTACACGGAGCGGGGGGAGAGGGAGGGGACCCCCTTTTTGGGGGTTCCCCCTTTTTTGGGGGTTCCCCCTTTTTGGGGGGTTCCCCCTTTTTTGGGGGTTCCCCCTTTTTGGGGGGTTCCCCCTTTTTTGGGGATTCCCCCTTTTTGGGGGTTCCCCCTTTTTGGGGATTCCCCCTTTTTTGGGGGTTCCCCCCTTTTTTGGGGATTCCCCCTTTTTGGGGGTGTTCCCCCTTTTGAGGGGTTCTCCCCTTTTTTTGGGGGGTGCCCAAAAGGTGTCCCTGAGCCACGGGGGAAGGGGGGGACATGAGGTAAATTTGGGGACCCCCCCAGGTGGCACCGAGCCCTGAGGTGTGGGGGGGCCCCTCGAGTTTTGGGATCTTTTTTTGGGGGGGGCGTTTGTTTTTGGGGGGTCCCGAGGGGTTTCCCTGTTTTTTCCCCCCATTCCAGACACCCCAAAAAGGGGGGGGGACACCCCAATTTTGGGCACCAACTCCAGGTATCCTCAAGGGGGGGGGTGCCCCAATTTCGAGCCCCTTTGGGATGGAGCCCCCCCACTTCTAGAGCCCCCCCAAATTCCACGGGTGCCCATCCCTGCCCAAAATTTTGGGGTGCAATCCCG